CTTTTTTTAAATCCCGTGCCTACTGGGAAGTTTGCATTGAGTAAAAAAAAAATCAAATATAATTTACAAAACAATTTTTTTTAATAACAAGGCTAAAATAAAAAAGCAAACTTCTTTTACATGGTAACATCAAAAAACCAGCTAAAGTTTTACGTTTGTATTAATAGTATGGAACAATTTTTCTTTATTTAAAGAAAGTTAACTCATATGTGTTTGGCATTTTTAAATTCTATTTGAGATTTATTAAAAACTAGTCTAAAAATTTGCATTCATTAAAGAAATTTGATGCTTATAAATCTTGAAGTTACTTGATTACTCTTTTAAAAAACAGCAAAATAAAAATATTATGCTATTCTCTAAAACAAAGAGGTAATTCGAGGTAATTAATAATATAGATTAAATATTATTTATTTTTAAAAGATTGTGTTTTTGTTTGTTAAAGTTATCACAGAAAAAGACTCGCTGTTTCCAAAATGAAAAAGCAGAAAAACATTAACAGAGTAAATCTGAGCCTGAAAACCTCGAAAAAAAGTTTATAAATGATTACAAAGGTAAGATTGCGAAGAGAGCTATACATTTGATTTATGAAATAATAATATATTTTTTAGGAATATGGTATATATTTTTACTACTATTAATTATCATCAATAAAAATTTATTTTTAAATTATTTCTAAAAATACTCATTTTTACAAAAAAAATTAGGCTTTGGAATTTTTATAACAACAGAAAAAAGCAAAGGTGAATTTGTTGCTGTTTACCAAGAAGTCTTAAAAAAAAAGAATGAAAAAAAGAGCTTAAAGAAATTTATAAAAATAAAGGCTTTGGGTCGTATGTATTTAGTTTCAAACACAACAATGAAGCATATTGGTAAAATTTGTTTAGTAACAAATGCAACTTATAATATTTTGGTTTTTGTTTGTTGACTTAACTAAAAGATATTTATTTACTTTTAATATACACGGACATTGGCCCAAATATATGGAGATATTTTTAATAATCTAAATTAAAACTAATCTAACTCGATTTCAATAAATTTATTTTTTATTGTTAAAATATTTAGTATTGATGCAACCAAAGATGATGGTTCTTTTGGTAGGCTAGTTAATGATTATAAACACTTTCCTAACTGTACAGGGGTGGGACCGCAAAATGTGAACACTTTTCTGATTGTAATAACTAATTTTCTGTTAAATATGAACTATTTTAAATAAGAATGTCCAATGGTTGGACATTCTTATTTAAAATAGTTCATATTTAACAACTCTTTAGACACTTTCTGATGAGTGAGAGAGTACAACTACATCTAACGAGAAAATAGTTATAATAAAACAAAAACGTTCACATTTTGCGGTCCCACCCCTGTAAAATAGAAAAGTTAATCATAAAGAATATCCCATTTCTTTGCCTTTTCTCAATAAGAAAAATAGAAAAATTTGAAGAAATTACCTATTGTTACGGAGAAAATAACCTTGACTGGCACGCAGCTGTAAGTTAATTTTTTTTTTGTATTAGCTTATGTTTGTACTATATAAATAGAAATTTGTTCTTTAAAATTCTATAATATAATGTTTGTTTTTCAGATAAAATACATTTAATATAAATACTTTGATTTACATTTGATTTATGAAATTACGTTATTTTCTTATAGCACACTTATAATCAAGTTGAAATAAATTTTATAACAGTTTACTTTTACATTTTATGAAGGAAAAGATATTGTACCAGAAGTTTGGCTGCCAATGTAAATTTTTAGTATCGTATATAAACAAAAATGAATATCTCAACCAGATTAAAATTTGATAAAAAGTAGTAAATACATTTAAATTAACTTTATGCGACTTACCCAAGTATTTTGCAGAAATATATTTTCAGATTTGAAAATATATTTATATATATTACAATACAGATTGTAATATATATAAATGAATATCTCAACCAGATTAAAATTATATATATTGTAATATATATAAATATATTTTCAAATCTGAAAATATATTTCTGCAAAATACTTGGGTAAGTCGCATAAAATTAATTTAAATGTATTCACTATTTTTTATCAAATTTTAATCTGGTTGAGATATTTATTTTTGTTTATAAACGATATTAAAAATTTACATTGGCAGCCAAAATACATCATGATGAAAATTTCCTCATAATTCGTTGTTTAAACTATAGTTAAGTTTTTTCAAATTTTTATGACTAGCGAATAAAAATTTTTTTTAAACTAATTTTACTCAGGAATATTTTAAAGAAAGTTTTATTAAAATAAAAAATTTTAAATATTATGATATAAATAAAAATACTTTTTACTCCAACGCCAAAATATTCATTCTGTATGATCCTTAAAGTTCTTAATATAAAACATGCATAAATATAGAGGGTTCGCAACAGCTTTAGATAAAAAAAAAACTAATTTGTTTTTTATAATTTGAAAAATTTTGTTTGAGTTTTTATTAAAAGTGTTCAAAAATATTTTCAAATTTTAGAATATAGTTTTTATAACTATTTCAAGCTTTGTTTTTAGTTACTATTACTTATTTAATTAGGAATTTTTAGTAAGTATAAATATAAATAGAAGTAATTTTTAGCATTTTTAAAATCTTATATCATATTTGATTACAGAACAAGGATTGAATATTCAAGTAGTTGATTTAGTTAAAGACAATAAATTTAGTTTTCCTTTTAAGGAGGTAAATTTTTCAACGATTTAGTTAAATTATTGTCTATAATCAGTTTTATAATTTTAAACTTTGTTAAATTCAGAGCACGAGCTAGGCTACCTCACACCGCTATTGGTAAGGGGATGCAATTTTAGAGAGTTCTTTTGTAAATTTTCGGATCTTAATATTTAGTTTATCTAGTGGAAAGTTTTTCGAAATTTTTGGGCCCTAAAAACAGGATTTTTGTTGGGGGGAGGGAAGGAGGAGGAATCACTAGCCACGGCAACATTTAATTGAAATATTGTAAAAATCATCTAAAAAAAATTTATTCAGTTAATATTTTAAGTTATTAAAAATAAATTAAAATAATGTTTTTAATGTATAAAAATTCTGTTGGTATCTGAAATTATTACTATTAATTTTTTTGTTTATAATCATAACACAAATGATTACCTTAACACCCAGCCTCTAACATTCCCTAAATAATATATATTTACATTTTTTTCTAGCTGCTATCTAAATCCACTTAAAAATTTTTTAAATGAAAAAAAAATATCATTTTCATTTATTCATTTATTATTATAATTTTTTTTTGCAGGACAGTAATGCAAATAATTCAAATTTGATTTTAACGGAAATGAGTGATGCAGTTGACTTTGTTGTCAGCACTTTTGTTCAGGTATTTTTTGCTTAATTATTTTTTATAAGTACCATTTATTTTAAAATCTGTTTATAGTTTAATTGTTTCAATATTTAAAAGAATGATTTAATTAAATTTTGTTTTTGTTTAAGGATTCTATCAATAGTTCAGCAAACATTGAATTAACCACTGTTAGCAGTACTGTTAATGACTTATCGGTTGAACCTCAGGTTAAAAGTTATACTAGCAGTTTAGGGAATTAATGTTATTTCGGGATCACTATAAGTTTTTATTTTTTCACAAGTTTCTGAAACTTTAAAAAAAGTTACATTACTTTAAAATGTTATTAATAATTCAATGAGTCAAGTATTAATTGAAGTAAATAGTGTCACAAATGGTGAATTGAAAGAGTCTCAGGTTCAAAATTAAATTGACTTCTTTTTCAAGCATTATTCAAAGAATTTCTCAGTTTACTAAAAAAATAGTTTATTTGTTATTTTAGAATGCGGTTAATAGTTCTTCATACCCTGAATTATGTGAAGTGAATAGTATCATTGATGGTGTTTCGGAAGAAGCTCAGGTAGAAAATGGAATTGACTGTTAGTTTAAAGCCAAACTTTATCTTAAGTTTTCTTGTTCTCTAACCATATCAACTAGAAAAATTGTTGTTTTAATTTAGAACTTTATCAACACTTTAACAAATTCCGGGTCAAGTCACATAAGCAGAACCGGTAATTGTGTATCGGAAACTCAGGTAAAAAAATAAAATAAATTTTTATTGTTGAAAGATTTAAAAAAACTTTTTTTGGTATATTAATTTGACTTTTAAACATATTTGTAAACATGTTTTTCCTACTTGATAAATCTTTTTTACTAATTTTTCTATAGATCTCAATAAACAATTCTGAAACCTTTTTGTATTCAACACTGAATGACCAAAATTTATGTTTCACCAACCAAAATGAAAAAATCGAACTAATTAGCGAAGAGAAAGTAAATACAAATACTTATAAAGTAAAAAAAGTAAGTTTAATAATGCTAGCGAACTTATTATGGTTTTACAAATGAATACAATTCGATATCAAACTTTATGCATTTTTCTAGGGTCCAATTAAAATACTTAAAAGATTATGTTTTATCTGTGGTAAATCATTCCGAAGACTTTCAAGACATATTGCAAAAAAACACAAAACTAACGAAAAAGTAAAAACTGCTTTGCAAAAACCCAAAATAGAGCGTAACAAGCTGTTTCAATCTTTTAAAAAGATGGTATTCGCCATTTTTATTTAAAACAAATTGATTTAAAAGTTCCTCGCTTCGAAAGAGAGCGGAGTCAACGAAAGTGTGAAAGTCTAGTTATGTGTTCGTTGTGTCATGGTTTTTATTCAAAACCTTATTACTCTCGTCATATGAATGTATGTGGAAAAGATTCTTCTCATTCAAAATGTGCAGCACTGGTTGAAATCCTTACTGATAAATCACAAAAAGGATTAAGTCAAAATTTCAAAACTGAAATTTTGCAAGTGATTAGAGATGATCCTATTGGCATTACTGTGAAGAGTAATCGAACAGCTTTGATGATTGGGTCACTACTTTACGAGAAAGTGAGAAGAAAACTTAGCAAAAAAAGTGAAGTTCAAAATTCTGTTCGAAATGATATAAGACGATTAGGCTATCTATACTCACATTTTAAAAACTATGAAGTAAAACCAATTTATTGCAATGCAGCTCATATGTTTCTTCGACAAAATTTTAGTTCTTTGAAGCTTGCAATTGAAGTATATACAGATACGTATTCTGAAAATCAAAAATCAGGGTTAAAAGCTGCCTTATATTATTTAATTTCTAGCAGTGCAAAAAAATGTGTCGGAAGCTTTTTGGTTTAAGATAATGACGATTCAGCTAAATCAATCTCTGATTTTTTAGTTCTTCTGCGACTTTGTAAAGAAGAGATATTTATGGATGCAACATATGATTTGAATGAACGCAGAAACATTAGTTTATGAAACCATCAAAATTACCAATTGAATCAGATATTCAAATGATACGTAATTACTTCATTTCTATCATAAAAAAGTACAAAGAGGATAACTTTGTCCTATGGGATCTTCACGCCTACGTTGAACTGCGTGATGCTGCATGTACAAGGCTTGTTCTATTTATTGGTAGACGAGGCGGCGAGCCTGCCCGTCTTTTGTTACGCGAGTGGTTTGAAAGCAGCAAAGGATGCATGGCTAGATGAACAACTTGCTGACGATTTAACAGATATAAATGAAACAAACATGAAAATAACTTACCAAAGTGGAAAAGGTTCAAATCATCTCGTCCCCTGTTTTAATTCCCGAAGATACTGTCCGTGCTATGGAAATTTTATCCGATCCAGTTGTTAGAAGCAGTGTTGGAGTTCTGGAATCAATGTTTACTTATTTCCTAATTGTCAAAGTTCAGAAAAGCATTGTTCAGGCTGGCATAGTTTAACTAATGTTTGTGATAAATTGTCTATAATACACAAGTCTAGATTAACTGGTACAACAAATAGACATAGATTAAGCACGCTTATGGCTGCAATAAACCTTAGTGATTTAGAAAAAAGTTTAGTTTTTAAACATTTTGGTCATAGCAAAAATATGAATGAAAATATTTATCAAGCACCAGCTGCCCACCAACAAATTTTGTCTACAGGAAAACACTTGTTGGCTATCGATGCAGGTATAAAGTAGTTTGTGTATCATTAGAGTACAACTAAAAAAAACTAAGATATAGTTTTTAAGATCTTTATATACTCGATAATAGAGTTAAATATATGATACTTTAAAAGTAAGTTAGGTTTTTACATTTAAAAAATAGGTCACTTGCACTTGCGCACAAATAACAACAATCAAAATTAAAAATTTTAAGAATAAATGTGTAAAAATCTTTCATGCGAAAATAAATCAAGAAGACTTCGCAGTCTTGTTGGTTTAGAGTGAATTTGTTGAACAACTTGTAAGTTCATTTATTGAATTAGACTGAAATTATACTTTTCAATAATAATTTCTTTTGCATTATATAATATTTACTTAATGGTATTCTAAAATTATTTTCAAAAATTTATTTTTTATTGATGCAGGAAGCGTACCACAATGAACTGGTTTTCATACATAAGGATCACAAACGTATGAAAACCAGTTCAAGTTTGATTCAAACAGGTGGGAATTTATATCAATTTTAAAATCTTGAATTTCTATTACTTTAAATGAATAAACTTCATCTTAACTTTTAATAGTAAATTCTAATGGAAGTGAACCTTAAAATGGAGGCAAACTTGAAAGTAAGATAACGGATATTTTACATGGTAATTTTTGATTTTTTTTTTTATGAATTAGTGTTAATTTCAGAGAAATATACTTTTTTTCGTAACGTTATTAAATCTTATTTTTTTTTTTATTTGATTATAAAACTTATAATGATTTTATCTAAAATTTAAAGGTCTTTACTTCTAGAAAAACCTTTAAAAAGTGAAAAACTTTTCTGCTCAGAAAATTGAAGGTAATTTTGTACTTTTTTGCAATTCCTGACCGTTTTTTTTATCCCTCCTCTCCCCCTCTTCACTACATTGTATCTCTTTAGTAGCAAGTTCCGTATGAGCCGTCACAAATCCACTAACCTCTTGTCCCTTCCTTAAGCGTGGCGTAATTTATGGACGACCTCAAACCTGATAAATGTTTTAATTTGCCTCAACAAAGCTGTATAAAGACTTGTTTTTATTTCACTTAATAAAATTCTTTAATAGTTTTACTGTCCCTTCTTCCTACTTTCTCCACCCCTTATCCGACAGCCGTCAAAATTAACAAAAAATACAATTATTTATTAGTTAACACAGTTTGATCTATAATTATACTGATTTGTAAATAGAACAATAATTCTTTTTTGCATTAGCCAGTTTTAGTATAGAAAATTTAGTCAATAATAAAATAACACATAAAACTAAAAATTAAAGCTTTTTAAATTTCTGAGATTTTTAATTAGCTTTTGCATTTTTTGTTTGGAAAGAATATATACTCAGTGGTCAACAGAACAAGAAGAACTATTGGAAAAAATGTTTGGAATATTTATCAGAGATAAAAACCTTGGATGGCCCAGTAATTAAAATAGAGTCATTGTTTTTTAAAAGTATATAAAATGTATGGCATATATATATATATATATATATATATATATATATATATATATATATATATATATATATATATATATATATATATATATATATATTATATATATATATATATATATATATATATATATATATATATATATATTAAAAGTATTTTCTATTTTAGAGTATAATGAAATAAAAGTCTTCTGTAACCAAACTGGGGTTCGCGAAAAAGCTTTAAGAAACAAAATTAACAACGAACGAGTAAAGTGGATGAGCTTACGAAAAAAAAGAACAGAAGAACTTATTATTTAAAAGTTTGTGATTTGTTTAAGTCAATAGAAGTGTTAAAGTAACCATATGATAAATAAATTAAGGTTGACTAAATCGTAAAAGTTATATAAAATTTGTCACAAAAAATATTTTTAAAAAAAGCAATATTTAATTTCCCGCCTCAATTTATTAAATGTTTTAAATAAGTTAAATGTATTCCTATTAAATTCACTAAAAACAAAATAATTTTTGATATAATAAATATAAAAATTTATTTATCAAAACAAAATTGTTTTGATAAATAAATTATTTTTTTTAAGTTGTAATAAGAATTTCCGACTAATAAACTGTAATCTTTTATAGTTTATTATGTATAATTTTAATAAAAATAATTGTTTAACTAAAACTGGTTATTCTATGTTTACGGTTTACTATTTTAAATTTGCTTTGTTTTGGCTACTCTAAGTAGCCGTAGTTCAGCTTTGTATTTATTTTCTTCATAAAATCCTTCATAAAATCCTACTCTTAACTTAATATCGTTTAAATATATTAATGAAAATCTTATAACGGATAATAACATATTTTATTTAACGCCAAGTCTGAAAACTTTATATTAACAAGCAAAGCATTACAAATATTTTTTAACAGCACTCCGATAACAAGTACAATAAACAATCAATATTAAGAAACACCAATAATTAATAAACTAATTAAATATTAAAAGTATTTCGAAACGCCGGACAGTGCTTAAATGATGCAAAAGCCAAAAGTTATTTAATCACCCAGACGCACAGCGGGTCAGGTTGTGGAAAAAAGTAAAAAAATTACATTCTCAAAAATTACATTATATAGTTTAAACATTCAGATTTATAAAATGTTTATATTTTTGTTTAATTATCATGTCATATGCTTTTACGCTGTAAAATAAAAGTTTTTTTTTTTTAATTTTATAATATTTTTTGTGTTACTAACCAGGCTAAAACACCGAGTGTTCGCCACTTTTTTAAATTTAGTCCAATATAAATATTCATTGCTCTTATTTTCATAAATTATAAATCTGTTAGTCTTAGCCTATAGATCGAGTTGGTCTTTACGATGCTCATAAAATAAATGACCTCCGATAATAAACACGTGAGCAATAGCCTCCGAAAGAACCAAATGGCGACCGCTAGCAAGAAACATGTGTTCGCCATCGGGGAATTTTTATTTTTGCGAGTGTTAGCCACAATTAAATTTATTTTTTAAATATGACTTTTTCTTTTTGATAAAGTTAATTTTCAAGTCTAAATTATTGTTAAAGAGCCAAAGTTTAATATACTTTTTTTTTCACTTTAACTAGAAATTAAACTAGAAATCTCCGGTCATATCATAGCGTGGAATCTAAAGAAAAAAGAAAAAGAAACTGACATTAATAAATAAATTATGTAAATTTTTTTATCTATTTTTTACTAATTTAATAAAACAGCAGCTGGACCATAGAATAGTCACTTTGAAATTGTTCTAACCAGAAAGAGATGCTGTTTTAGACTTTCTTCTTTTGTTTGCATTGGGTTAGTATACACAATCAGAAGAAAAACAATGGTATTTAAATCTACTAGTAGGGCCCAGTGGGCACACGACGTTATTTCGACGTTGATTTAAAGTTGATTTTTAGTCGCGACGTCGTATAACCAAAAATCGACGTTGTATCAACGTTGAAAAATTTGTTTAAAACTATCAAATAAAATCGACGTTGATTCCACGTTAATTCAACGTCTATATTACGGTCTATATTCGATCGTTCATAATTGCAATATGATAACTAAAATACGCATGCGTGACTTAAATTTTTTTTTATCAACAACAAGTAACAAGTAAAGACTTAACAAGTTACTTATTAGCCCAATAAAAACAAGTAAAGTCACACATGCTAATAAATTAGGTCATCTGTTGCCTTTTTATAAGGTTTTGAATTTGACAATTTACCAATAATACATGGCTTAACTTGTGATGCAGTTAGTTAGGTAAATATTAAATGGATATTTCTTTATGACCGTATTATTTTATGAGTGTGGTTTACAAGTAGAGACTACTTGATATATTATATAAATATAAAATATATATTATATATGTTTTTCTTATTTATATAATACATATATATATATATATATATATATATATATATATATATATATATATATATATATATATATATATATATATATATATATATATATATATATATATATATATATATATATATATATATATATATATATATATATATATATATATATAGTATATATACTTATATTATATATGTATATATACATGTATAGTGTGTGTATATATTATATAATACATATGAAAAAGTATAGTAGGGCATGCAAAATGTTCATTCGAGCTGTTTGGATAGAAAATACAGAGAAATAAAGAGAGAAAATTCGATTGATAATTTTTTGTGCTGCTCGTCATATTTAAATGTAATAAATTGTTTCAATGAAATGCATAAACCGCATCTAACTAATACAGATTTACGCTGCTCAAAATTTAATGTCATGGAGATAATGTAATTTTTTTTTTATATAAACCTTAAGTCATTACTTTTTTTCCTTGTTTTTTTAACATGCTTTCATTCTGTATATGTTGTTTTCAGTGTTTAGATATATTCTTTATTATATATTCTTTATTATATAATGTATTTAAAACATTTTTAAATTGAATGAATATTCTTAGATCAAGAGTTATGTAATAAATTTAAATTTGCCTCTATTAGTGATACTCAGATATAATCAGGTTCAGAAAACAGTAACTATTTCAAAAGATACTTAATTCAAGTATTATTATTTATATTTTGATATTAATTATTATAGGAGCCACTACCATGCTTATGCAAGAGAAAACATAATAACCAACAGAATAGTAAGCAAATACCTACTCCAGTAACGCAAAAAAAGAAACAGAAAACATTTTTTATGCATACTCCACATACTGTAGCTCAAAGTATTAATTGTCTGTCTGCAAGTTGATTTAGGAAGTAAAGATACTGAACATTTTTTTCTATGCTTCAGCGATTTACACATTTCTTTGGTTTCTAAATTAATACATTTTATTTAATTTATGAATAATGTTTTATTTTATAAATTTTTTGTTCTTGTGTTTCAACACTTTTAGAAATTAATTAATGTTTGGTTCTTTTGTCTTTCTGATATATCTTTATTGTTAGAAAGAGATGTTAGTAAAAACTCTTTCCAGTAATTAAAGTAATATCATGACAAATAGTTCTGAAATTCTATGGATGAACTTTCAGCAGTAATTTAATGATTATGATAACAGTTTAAATGATTCTTGGGTGAGGTCAGAAGTGATAGGTTGTATCAAACCATGACTTTTTGCAGTTTTTTTTATTGTTTTTTGATTAAGTATTTATTAATAACTTAGCCTAAGTTAATCTACTTGTAACTTTTAATAAATGTACTATAAAAATAATGTGGTGTAATTATTTTCTTAAACCTTTAGGTTAACAAACTTTCTAAAATTGGAGGTAAAACCATTAAGAAAAATACAAATACATGTGATGCAAAGGTTTGTTAAAAGTAGTTTTAAATAAAAAATCTTTTGAATCTTTTTTATAGTTTGTTTTAAACTTGTGTTAAAAATCTGTGTTGCATATATTTTTAAAAGTTTGACGAATTCTAATCAGACATAAAATGAATCTTTTTTTTTTATGTCTGATTATAATTTTTTTGTAACTGTTTTCTCTTACTTTTGTATTTCCTTGAGCTAAAGAACAACCTTAAAGTACAAAGGTTGATTTGTAACACATACTTAACCTTTTTTTTTACTCTATATATACATACATATATATGTACATAAATAAACATACATATATATGTATGTATATATACATACATGTGCTTATATGAATATATTATATATATATA